TGTTGGGGTCCGGGGGGGTCCGTACCGTCCTTGCGGTAGAGGCAGAGCTCCACCTTGCGCTCGTGCCCCCCCAGCAGGGCCCGGGCCACCAGGGCGACCCCGCGGGGGTGGGTGCGGGGCCCGTGCAGGAAGGGGCAGGTCCCGGGGCGCTGCAGCACCTCCCCCCGCCCGAACCCCCACAGCCGGCAGAACCCCTCGTTGCAGTAGATGACGGCGCAGTCCCGCGCCCGCGCGTTCCCGATGATGAACTTCCGGCCTGGGGTGGGGGGAAAAGGGGGGAAAGGTCAAGGGAGGGGGACCCCCGGCACCCCCAAACCGCCACACCACGGGGACACCCCCCCCAACCCCCACAAAGGACCCTGTGGCCACGGGGACCCCATCGCTGCCATGAAGACCCCAACACCATGGAGACCTCAGTGCCATGGGGACCCCACCATCATCACCCCAAGGACACCAACACCATGAAGACCCCACCATCACCCAGGGACCCAACATCATGAAGACCCCAATGCTGTGAAGACCCCACCATCGTCACCCCAGGACCCCAACAACACCATGAAGACCCCACCATCATCACCTGGGGACCCCAACACCACGAGGACACCCTGCCCACCCCCCCCAGAGGACTCCGTGGCCACGGGGACCCCACTGACACCACTATGGGGACCCCAACACCATGAAGACCCCACCATCATCACCCCAAGGACCCCAACACCACAGGGACCCCCCAGGCACCCCCAACAAGGACTCTGTGGCCACAGGGACCCCACTGGCACCACTATGGGGACCCCCCAGTCATGGGGACCCCACCATCATCACCCAGGGACCCCAACACCATGAAGACCCCAACGCTGTGAAGACCCTACCATCGTTACCCCAAGGACCCCAAACACAAGGGGGACTCCACCATCATCACCCCAAGGACCCCAACACCATGAAGACCCCACCATCATCACCCCAGGTACCCAAGACCACAGGGACCCCCCAGCCACCCCCAACAAGGACTCCATGGCCATGGGGACCCCACCAGCACCACCACTGGGACCCCAACACCATGAAGACCCCAACACCTTGAAGACCCCAACACCATGAAGACCCCACCATCATCACCCAGGAACCCCAACACCATAGGGACCCCC